GCCATTTACCTCAAGGAAACAATAAATAAAAAGTCATCCCAAGAAGGAAAGTAGAAACAGAGTACCCAAGGATCACACAGAGTGCTAAAGAAAGTACTCTTCTGAGTGAAGTACAGAATCCTTTTTCTTAAATGATCACAGTACATTGACTTATATCCTCGCAGAACATTACAATTTATACCTCTTGAGAGCAGTTTGTTTCTTACAACCCTACTTTTCAAATAGCTTCCAGTAACCAAAGCCTCCTCCTATAGCATTACATGAAGTCAGGACTTCCACACATTTTCCATATTACTACAGTTTACATTTTTAGTATTGTGTTCCATTTTTAGCATGTCTCTGCTACCAAGAAAACCAGCACTGACCTCCACACTGACACAGTTCTGATCCTTCTAAAATACAGGGTAACCCAATAGCGGTAATTCTAAGAACAGCTCGCAGGAAACACCCCACAACTTTGTTACAAAGCACCTACAAAGGATGTGTGCACCCATATGCTCTAAGGAAAACATGCAACAAAAGTTTTCATTTAAATGTTTCTGGCAGTAAACCCCAAATGGCAAACAAAACTACTGCTCACTTTACTGCAACACAGGAATAGATGTACACATTTCTGTGGACACACCAAATCAGTACTGCAACTTCCTCTATTTAGAAATGGCTTCCTTCACAACAATGTGCTGGTATAAAATTCACAAAAATCAGAATTTAGCGACAAGTACAGTACATAGCACCAAATAAATAATTAAATAAATACAATAAAAATCCTGAGAGCAGGAATCAATTTTCATCATTAATCTTCATATTCAGACTTGAGAGAATTTCCATTCTAATGCCCAATAATGTTTAGTGATTATTCTTTTTCTTATCTTCCTGTCTTGCACATGGCAAAAGATTGAATCCCTTTTAGAACAGTGTTAATTTGGGTGATAGTCGGAAATAAGTAATCTTGAATTTTTTTATGTCTTTATTATCAAGAAGCTTCCTCTGAAAACATTCAGTATCACTCAAGTCTGAAATAAAAGTAATTCTTGCTGAATTTCCAGTGTTGTTGAATTCACCCAGCACTGCTTCAATAAACTGTCCATGGAAGTAACATGGAAAATAATGCTAACTTCATTAAACTACAGAGCCTAACAACAAAATAAAAACCAGTAATAGTAATTCAGAGGGTTCACTAAGATTAACACCAAAAATCTTTTACATAAAAAAGCCATTAAAACCCATTTGATATCATCACATAACATCAGAAAGATCCAAGAAAACTAGCCAGATCCAGCTGTAATCAAATATTAGTGTCTTCTATTAACAAGTATGATTGAACACTGCACGATGAATTGGTATTCCTTCTGGCTAAGGAAATGGTTAAAAAAAAAAAAAAAAAACCAACAATGTAAAAGACCATAAAAGAAAATACACCAATGCTGGCACATCACCTCCAGTTCAGGAGGGAGGTTAGTTCAGTTTTAATTCTTCATTTCTGCCTGTTAATAATACTAACATGACCTCCTGGTTTGTGCATCTTGGCAGCTAAAAAATAGAGGAAAAGGCTGCTCAACAACTGATCATAACTCTTCCTGAGCTTCTTTCTTCCTCCATTTACCTGATATGGTTCTGTAAAAGGCATACGCTTGCTGAAGATACTCTTGTACAACATAGCAACCAAACAAAACTTTACACCAAAAACAAGAGAAAGGCTTATGATAGTTTGTTCTAGAAAAAAATAGCGGTAGTAAGAAATCAGAACATTTATTTCAGTTAAATGTTTTTAAATAATTCATCTAGACTTGAGTCTTACAGAAAATGGACATGTTAAATTTGCTGATTCATCTTCCTGAACGCTCTTCACGCAGAGATCACAAAAACTATGCAGATACAAAAGAAAGGAGAGTGAAGAGGCAGCATTTCTACCTTCTACCACAGGAAGGCACAGACAACCCAGTACAAAGCCTCTCTAAGAAGACACTGAGCAGGCAGATGCAGCTGAGTAATAGCAGCAGCAGTGATGGGAGCTTAGGAGTGGAACAATAAAGAGCACAGGCAGAGGAATGACAGCTCAGACAGTGCAGTGACAACAAAGCCAGACTAAGTGATTCTTAGGAGCGTTCACATTACAGGGTAGAGTCACAGAAAAATTAAACTACCCGCATATTAGCCAGGCATTAAACAATGAGAAGTTGGTGTCACGCACAAGCTCCTGTGTCTTTAAACTCAGAAACACAGACAACCCTAGCTGAACACAAACCAGAAGTTACTCCTGCTTACTGACTGAATCAGGCCATAACACAGAGACCAAAAAAACACTCCAGCTATTCAGTTTACAGAAAGCAATTCCATCAGAAGACCACACTAAATTAAAAGACTGAACAGCTGCAGCAGCTCTCACTCACTCTAATCCCCTCTTCCCCACCAAATTCATCTTGGATAAAGTACATTAATGAAAAGGATTAATGACCAACAAAAGGATTAAGGAATTCCAGGAGATTTCATACTCTGAACACAGTTAAGCTACAACAAGGGGAAAAAAGAAAGGAAGAAACAAGAGGTATCAAAACCTGCTGGAACACTTTTGACTGCATTAAAAGCTTTGATGTCATTTTTGCAGCAAAAGAGATAAGAGAAAAGGCTGCCTTTGTTCTAAAGGAATACTTCCTTTTCTGTAAAATTCATATATATATTAAAATTAATCTTTTAAAAAGAAATACAGAAAAGAATACAGCTTGTCAAATACTTTAAAAAGAAGTAAAAGTTGCACAATCTACATGAACAGAATAATCAGTCAATTTTGCTCTAATTTAAATAACACTGTAGAATTGCAGGAAAGTGTAAAAATTAAAATATACAGTTAAAAGAAAGTTTGGTCCAACTGAAGAAAGGTAATGACAACCTAGCAGGAAGTAAAATGGTTAAACTTAAAATGGCCTTTCACAGAATCACAGAATCACTAAGGTTGGAAAAGACCTATAAGATCATCCAGTCCAACCATCCATCTATCACCAACGGTTCTCGCTAAACCATATCCCTCAACACAACATCCAAACGGTCCTTGAACACCTCCAGGGAAGGGGATTCCACCACCTCCCTGGGCAGCCCATTCCAGTGCCTGACCACCCTTTCAGAGAAGTAGTATTTCCTAATATCCAGCCTGAATCTTCCCTGGCACAGCTTGAAACCATTCCCTCTATAGTCCTATCACCAGTTATACGGGAGAAGAGGCCGACCCCCAGCTCGCTACAACCTCCCTTCAGGTAGTTATAGAGAGCAATAAGGTCTCCCCTGAGCCTCCTCTTCTCCAGACTGAACAATCCCAGCTCCCTCAGCCGCTCCTCATAGGATTTGTGCTCCAGACCCCTCACCAGCTTTGTTGCCCTTCTTTGAACCTGCTCCAGGGCCTCAATGTCTTTCTTGCAGTGAGGGGCCCAGAACTGGACACAGTACTCAAGGTGCGGCCTCACCAGAGCTGAGTACAGGGGAACAATTACTTCCCTACTCCTGCTGGTCACACTACTTCACTACTTCTGATACAAGCTTTGATTAAGAGTTAATTATGAAAGCAGGAGGTAAATACTTTCACAGGACATCACCCTCACAGATAAATATTTTGTAATGTCACAGAAACTGAAGATGCATGAAGTACTAAGGAAAATATATAGACTGGGTTGCTAGAGACCAGTATGATGATGCCTGGAAATTCTATTTTGTCACATTATTTTTAAGACATTATTTTCCAGTTCTTATTCTCAGTAGGATCACAGGCATTGTATGTTACACGCTTAATGTGAAAGATACGCTTACAATAGAAATAAAAAGGAATAACAGAACAACAGAATGGCTTGGGTTGGGAGGGACCTCAAGGATCATGTAGTTCCAACTAGGGCAGGGCTATGGACAGGGCTGTCCCCCACCAGCTCAGCTGCCCAGGGCCCCATTCAACCTGGCCTTAAGCTCCTCCAGGGATGGGGCACCACAACTTCTCTGGGTAACTGTACCAAGGCCCAACGGCCCTGCCTGAGGAAAAAATTTCCTTACTTCTAATCTACATCACCCCTCTTTTAGCTTAAGACCATCCTTTCATGTCCCATCACTATGTCCCCTGAGGAAGAGTCCCTGCCCAGCTCTCCTGTAGCCTCCTCCTGAAGCCTTCTCCTATCTAGGCTGCACAACACAGGGACAGTCCCTGTCATGGGATCTACATGTAACCTAACTTGAGAAAGGCACTGCTAAACAAAGAGGGACAGAAAAGCAACAAAAATGATTGTGAAAGACAAAAATACTAAAGAAAAGGGATTACAAGGTTTATATCTTTGCATTATTCTTTAATGTATGAAATAATTGTTTAGATAATACTGTAGTGTCTTTTGGGAGTATTATTTTACAACAGCATTAGCTAAGGAAGTGGAAAATGTCCTTAAAATGCAAAAATACGTGCTGCTGATATTTCAAATGATGGCTTTTCTGCAGTTACAGAACATGCACTTAGCAGCTGACTACACCAACTACAGCCATCAGTTCACGTGTGACCACAATTAAAAGTGTTTTTTCATCTTCCTAGTTCAGTATTTTGAAAGACCAGAGGATGATTAAAAGCCATCATCACTGTTTCTCTTCATGGAGTACCAATTGTACTCCAATATGTGAGTCATCTTTATAATGTCTTTTAAACTAACTTCTTGAACAACTGAACTGTTCCAAGGAACATAAAAGCAAAGGTAAGAATCAGTATTTTGTGCTCATTTGATTCTACCGAATAAAGAGAATTTAAACACGCAAGCAGTATCTAAAAATGAAGAAAAGGACCATAACCACATAAGTCAAATGAAGCTGTCTTCTACTGACTTGCATTCCCCTCTTATTTCAATTTCTTAGCATTTCTAGCAAGTTATGAACATCCCTTAGTGATACTAAATGCCAGCATAATTTGTTTTCTATACCACACTAGGTAATAGAATAACATACTTTCTTCACTTTTCAAAGAGACCATGTCCTTAACTATGCATTACCTTAGCAGCAGACGGTGCTCCACTTGTCTGCGTTTCGGAAGGCTGACTGACATTAGCACTTGCTGACTTCTGCAAAATAAATGAAAGAAACATAATAAACAGAAATGTTCATGAAGAAGTAAAATTGCATATTAACACAGTAATTAAAATGTATTATTAAATATTAAAACAGTATTTAAAAAATTCTGTTCTAAAAAATCCCCATATTTTTAAAAGGTAAGTAATCCAAAAACATGTTTTCCTATGTAACTTTAATTTGCACTGCTTTATTTCAGATGCATTGAAGCACTTTGCCCCACACTGAAGTTCTCCAGCACTGTTTCACAGAACAAATAAAAGGGCCTGGGGTATTTCCCATATGAGAAAAAGCTGAGAATCCTGTGACCAAAAGGGGATCTGATAAATGACTACAAATATCTAAAGAGAGGTGGGAGGCAAATGGTTGAGGCCAGGCTCTTCTCAGTGGTGTGTAAAGATAAGATAAAGAGTAATGGCCTAAAACTTGAGCACATGGAATTCCGTATAAACACGTGGAAGAAATTCTTCATGGTAAGGGTGAGAGAGCACTGGAATAGGTTGCCCAGAGAGGTTATGGAGTCTCCTACAGAGATATTCTGTGCACCTACCTGTGTAACCTATTATAGTGAACCTACTTTAGCAGGAGGGTTGAATTAGATGATCTCCTGAGGTCCCTCAGCTTCTGCAATTCTGTGATTCTGACAGATCTATGCTATTTCCTGTGGCAGAGTGACTTATTTTAATAAATGGCCAAACCAACAGTAGCCATATCATAGAATGTTTGGGTTGGTAGGGACCTCAAGGATCATCAAGCTCTAACCCCCCTGCCTCAGGCAGGGTTGCCAACCTCCACATCTAATACTAGACCAGTCTGCTAAGGGCCCCATCCAACTTGGCCTTGAACACCTCTGGGAATGGGGCATCCACGGTCTCTCTGTGCAGAATATATGCAACACGAGCGATTTATGGTAAGACTTTAAAGTACTAATTGTGAAAAGTGAGATGGGTAGGTTATTGCTCTACAGAAATAACTTTTACAAAATGGGAAGTAACAATATATCTCAGGCAGGGAAGTACAGAGACAGAACTAAGAGCAAAATGATGGCTTTCCTAGTTAATAAGTAAACTTGCAATTGAAACAAAACAGGACATCCTCTCTGAACTTGCATTCAGCAACTGCTGAAATGACATCTATTGAAGACTAGAAAAACCAGCCATTAATAATGAACACAGCAAAATGTATCAATTATTTGGAGGCAGAAGATGGATAAGACCAAGCCACTTTCTCTGACAAATGGAAGCTCAAGATCTACAAGATGAAGTGTTTACACTTCAATTACTCTCTACAGCAGAGAAGTCAGTAGAATGATGATGGCTCAGATATCTTAACAGGAAACCTGCATTCAAACTCAGAAACACCAGTTTCCAAAGGATTGTACAGTATCTACTGCAAGAGAACAGCAGTCACAATCTTCTGTTTAAGGTCATTTCTATGTCACATTCTCACTGCAGTTTAGCTCCAAAACCAGGAAACCATCTCCATAAGCAATGCTGAAAATTCAACCATCAGCATCCAGTCAGAGCCTGAGGGAGAGGATTTCTGTGACTATTTACCAAAGACTAACATCACAAAAAATCTAGCCTAGCGGTACAGTCTGAAACAAATAAGATATCCACATCAAAGCGCTCATGATTACTATTGAAAGCAATGACACCCAAGCAAGACTTCATAGTGTGTCACAAAAAAAGAAAAGCAATGGTGATTTCCCCCTTAAAAGTTTAAGAACACAGCCACCTCCCCCAGCCACTCCAGACCAAGACACCTCCTGCACAGCCACTGGAGTCTTCTGCAGACCAGTATCACTCAGTACAGTTCTGGCTGGGTGTTGGAGCCCAGCACAGTGCCCAAGGACATCATCTCCACCCAGGCAGGGAAATGCAGTTGCCACCTTCCTGTTTCCTTTCCTAGCAGAAAAGCAAAGCATTTGTCTGATACATGCACACTGGCACTGTCTGTCTTCAGCAGCACCCACAGACAGGAACTGCCCATCTGGATAGTCTGGTCTAGAAATAGTAAGAAATCTGTATTTCAAGTAAAATAAAATTCTTGTTCCAACAATTAATCTATGATTATCAATTAAACAGTATAAGGAAGAAATGGTAAAGTAACTGAACCAAACATTTCTCTGTTTCACGGTAAGTTGAATAATAGTAAAGATAAAGGTGGGAAAGAAACAAGAAAATTCAGTATTTTGCTTTTAAGCAGGAAAGGCAACCTGGAGATAAGCTACAGAGACTTATACCACCACCAAATCAGTATCCTTTACTGAATACTGAAAATAACAGGCTGAGTAATAACTTCCAGTTTCCAGGGTTATCTTTCTGTAGTAACCTCTCTGTTATGTATCCCATAATACATTTGTAAAAGGAGGAAAACTGGCAACATCAAGCTACCAGGTTCATCATTCTCCTAAGCTTATTAAAATAATGATGCTGGGAAGCAACCCCCTCCCTCCCCCCCCCCAAGCATATCAGCTCTGACACTCTTTATCAACAAATCCATCAGTTATGTTCTGTCTTCCACTCCCCCTCGAAATAGAAAAATATTTTTTCCTCTGACAGTCTCAGACCCAATCAGACAAAGAATTACCTTTCAGCTGTACTCAGATCTCATTTCCCCACTTGACAACAACAGAGCTAGTGAATTATCAAAGCACAACTTATTTCTGAAAAGAATTAGAAGACTTCAACAAGACTTTTGACACCATCTCCAATAATATCCTCATAAGCAAGCTAACAAGGTGTGGGATAGAGAAATGGCCAGTGAGCTGGACTGAGAACTGGCTTACTAGCAGAGATGAGAGAGTTGTGATCAGATGTGGCAGAGTCCTTTGGAGGCCTGCAACAAGAAGTGTTTCCCAGGGGTTAGTACTGGGTCTCAGTTAGAAGCATTTCCTAGGAGTCAGTACTGGTTCTGGTCTCCTTCAATATCTTCATCAATGACCTGGATGATGGGATAGAATGCACCCTCAACTAGTTTGCTGATGATATAAAGCTGGAAGGAGTGGCTGACAACGAAAAGGCTCTGCTGCCAGTCAGCAACACCTGGGGCAGCTCGGACAGTTAGGCAAAGAGGAATGTGATGGAGGAATAACTGCATGCATTCAAAACAGGCTGGGGGCTGATCAGCTGGAAGGGATCTCTGCAGAGAAGAACCTGGGTGTCCTAGTGAACAGCAGTGCAATGAGCCAGCAGTGTGTGCTGGCCGGCAGGTTGAGGGAGGTGATCCTGCCACACTGTTCTATCCTAGTAAGGCCACATTGGAGTAGTGTGTCCAGATCTGGACTTCCCACCTCAAGAAAGACAGGGAACTTCTACAGAGAGTTCAGCAGAGGGCCACAAAGATGCTTATGGCCCTGGAGCATCTCCTGTATGGAGAAAGGATGAGAGACATGAGACTTCAGCTTAGACAAGCGACCTAAAACGTTAGGTCATTTCTGAGGCTTCTTCTTGACCTGGATATGCAAAGTTGAAATGAGCAGCAGGGTTCATCATTTTTACATTTCATATTTCAGCCTATGGACCCATCCCATGGGCCTCAGGCTGGGGAGGGCCCAAGACACATGGCATCCCAGAGCAGCGTGAGGAATCTGTCCCTGGTTAGTAAGCTTTGAGAAGGCTCGGCCAAGGTATGAGTGTTGACTATAGCTACCTACTGGGAGCGCAGAAGATGAAACCTGACTTTTCTCACAGGTGCCAAATAGTGGGCACCCTCCTCACCACTCCTCTCTTTTGAGATCAGGGCAGAAGAGATGCCACTTCTAAAGTTCCAGGGGTAGGGATGAGGAATAAGAAAGAACAGAATAAATAAAAAGCAACCCTCAAAACTCAACATGATTACATCTCTCATGGCTTTCTGTAAGGTGTCAGTATGTTTTGCCCCTCTCTGCTACTTGCTGGCACCAGGACGGCTTCACAGTAGGCAGCCGCAGGGTGGTTGAGAACCCTTCCCTGGCCTACTTGGTACATTCTTTCAACCACCGCACAGCAAGAGCCATAGGCCTCAATTCCCAACTGCCATGTTTTGGTCACTATGGGACACTCAGAATCCTATTGCCATGGCCATCCCTATAAACACAGGAACCCCATGTCCAGAACCCCAGTTGCTGAGCCACAGCAACCAGTGGTACCTGATCTCTGCAGGAAGTATACAAGAAGCTTTTCCTTGAACTACTGAGGATGGGTCAGCCACCTTTCAAGAAGAGGTGGCTGATGGAAAGGGATGATGACATCGAGTCCATGGAAGTGACTGTCTGACAGTGACAGACAGCCCAGGGGGAGGATCCACCTTGGGAGGACAACCTGATGGAAGTGTATCTCCCTCCATCAGAGCAGACCAGTCACCATACTATCAGTGTCAGGCTGGTAAGGAAGAGATCATGCCCCAAACACTGTTGCAGGGGCACCAGGATCTGCCCACCTCCATCCAAATGGCTACCTCAATGTTGGCACTGATCCTCCTGTCCTGTTAGTTTGCCATTAGAGGGGAGAGCCACAGCTGAGGGCCATCCTGCAGGCTCACATGGAGCCTTATGTCCTGGCAATTCTTTTGACAGACAAGGCTCCTGCAAGTACTTTCTTCCTGTGCCGTTCCCTCATTCCTCTCCAGGGGAGGAGGAGGGATGAAACAAGTGACAGAGGTACTGCAGAGAAGCAGACTTCAGTTTGGACAACAAGTGCCAAACTTCAGCAGGAAGATCCAGTCAAGATGTTTCATTTGCACATTTTTTTCCAAGACTGGACAATCAACAGTTTACAATAACAATACAAAATAACAATAATATAAAAACCAGAACACAAAATAAACAACTTTTCTTTTATAAAAGCAATAATTGTCTCTCCTTTTTTTGCAATTTTACAATCTGCATGTAGATTCCCACATCCCCTCATCTCCCTTTACACAAAAATGTACCCTGGAGCAGGGCACACTGACCTCATTTCCAGCTTGAGGAATAACCACAGAACTGCACAGCCCATGCACGGCCCCTTGC